TGGGATCGGGTGGGGTGGGCTTGTTGACTTGGTTGATGCATGTCATTGTATTTCAATTGCGTAGGTCGATGCTCATGATGTCAATCACTGGGTTGTCTGGTCCAAACTCGATTATTTACAGCCCGCTGTTATATAGCTGGAATATTACTGAGTGCGGCATTAAACAACAAACAAACAAAACATTTGCCCTGTTTGTCCAGATCACTTTTGCGAAGAATGTTTATCAGTTTCTTCACATCATACACCTCATCACGAAACATCACAGGGTATTTGTAAAAAGACAGGTTTCTAAGTGTGAACCTTAGGCACTAGGAACGTAATGTAACCGTTCCACTTGCCCTATCAGTGTTCATTCTAGAGCACAGCATCGCAGCATTGACATGCCTCTTCAACAATGATGTAACAATTATCATCCACATGCGGCAGCATCTACCTGAGGCCCGCATGTCCGTTAGCCTCGATCAAAGCCTAGTTTCTACCTGAGGCCTGCGTGTCCGTTAGCCTCGAGCAAAGCCTAGTTTCTACCTGAGGCAAGCGTGTCCGTTAGCCTAGAGCAAAGCCTAGTTTCTACCTGAGGCAAGCGTGTCCGTTAGCCTAGAGCAAAGCCTAGTTTCTACCCAAGGCAAGCGTGTCCATTGGCCAAGATCAAAGCCTAGTTTCTACCTGAGGCAAGCGTGTCCGTTAGCCTATATCAAAGCCTAGTTTCTACCCAAGACAAGCGTGTCCACTAGCCTATATCAAAGGCTAGTTTCTACCCTTGACACGTCAAGGCCACTTTTCTTGGCATGACTCTGGCGCCACCTTGCGTAGATCATAAGTTGTGCCCCTTGTAATGAAAAGGAGATATCAAATCAGATTGCAGTTCTTCTCTTGTATAGCTTCACAAAGATGGTGACAACAGGTACCATAGATGACGACCTAGTTAATCAGATAACGTAAACATTCGTGATTTCATCCCTGACACAAAAAGGTGTACTAGTCGTGGATGTTGATTTTATGAAACAATCGGTGATTGGACTATCGATATGGGTGATAGTCCAATCATATTTAGCACAGGAAAGTTGGCTTGATGTGGCATGGCTGGAAACAAGACTTTGGTAAAAAGGCTGGTGGACGCTATTGCCTCGGGAAGATGATGCGGTAGTTGGGCACATGGTTTCTAATATGAAGGATTCTCATATACCTTAACGGGCTTTGTTTCACAACATCCGTATGCTTTGTTTGCGGGTCTTTAAACATTCCTTCATAACACTCCCATATTACAGCACAGGGAATGAAATGACGGTGTAATTAGCTTTTTTCAGTATCTGACTCATAAAACAGTCTGATTGATTTGCTTTTACTACTGGCCTACGTCAACATGGGCAAATATTGCTACCTGCATGTCAGGATATTAAGAACAGCAGTGGTGTCAAGTGTTTAAAGATGTAAGTCAAAGGCCAACTCTCCCATTCAGGAATTTGGAGATCAGCTTGTCAAATGTCATGTGAAAGACAGCACATGACAGCTCCGCTCACATCGTCCTAGATCGGCCTGCATTGAGCACTAAAAAGTCAAATTCAGTCACTGGAAAATTTGTAACAACTTCTGAACAAGCACCTGCCATGTTGAGAGTGAGGATCACCAGGTATTTTGTGGCTCCCCTTTTGAAAACAACCCCACATTTTTTTTATAGGCCCAAAGATCCCTTCATTTTTAGCAACTTAAAGAACACTGCATTCTTATACAAGGAATTTGAACCCTGGTATATATCTGTATATTGATTTTAGGTGTGAGAAATGTTTAGCTGTTGGCTCGTGGTCACGCTGAGGCAACACATGATGGAACTGTACACCGGCCGTCTCGACTTTATGCACTGGGGGCCTATTATTATGATTGGGTGAATTACTTTTGCAGTTTTAAAAAAATTAAATATTAGAAATAAAAAATTTCTCAATTACACCTCAGATCTATTGGTCATGTTGAAAAGACACCTCAGACCTATTGGTCATGTGGAAAAGACACCTCAGACCTATTGGTCATGCAGGGAAGACACCTCAGATCTATTGGTCATGTGGAAAAGACACCTCACCTCAGACCTATTGGTCATGCAGCCCTCTAAGTTCGTGGAAAAGACACCTCAGATCTATTGGTCATGTGGAAAAGACACCTCAGATCTATTGGTCATGTGGAAAAGACACCTCAGACCTATTGGTCATGTGGAAAAGACACCCCAAACCTATTGGTCATGTGGAAAAGACACCTCAGACCTATTGGTCATGTGGAAAAGACACCTCAGACCTATTGGTCATGTGGAAAAGACACCCAAAACCTATTGGTCATGTGGAAAAGACACCTCAGACCTATTGGTCATGTGGAAAAGACACCTCAGACCTATTGGTCATATGGAAAAGACACCTCAGACCTATTGGTCATGTGGAAAAGACACCTCAGACCTATTGGTCATGTGGGGGAGACACCTCAGACCTATTGGTCATGTGGGGGAAGACATCTCAGACCTATTGGTCATGTGGAAAAGACACCTCAGACCTATTGGTCATGCAGGGAAGACACCTCAGACCTTTTGGTCATGTGGGGGAGACACCTCAGACCTATTGGTCATGTGGAAAAGACATCTCAGACATATTTGTCATGTGGAAAAGACACCTCAGACCTACTGGTCATGCAGGGAAGACACCTCAGACCTACTGGTCATGCAGGGAAGTCACCTCAGACCTTATGGTCACGCGGGGAAGTCACCTCAGACCTTATGGTCACGCGGGGAAGTCACCTCAGACCTTATGGTCACAGCAATACAGCAACACAGCAACACACAGTCACATACATCTTTTTATTTTCACACTATCTGTCTTCCCGGTCTTCCCAGTGTTGCATCACAGATGTATTCAAATGGGACTCGAGCTGGAGCCACATCACAGACATATTCCGATGGAACTCGTGCTGGAAGCCACATCACAGACATATTCCGATGGAACTCGTGCTGGAAGCCACATCACAGACATATTCCGATGGAACTCGAGCTGGAAGCCACATCACAGACATATTCCGATGGAACTCGTGCTGGAAGCCACATCACAGACATATTCCGATTGAACTCGAGCTGGAAGCCACATCCACAGACATATTCCAATGGACCTCGAGATCACAGACGTATTCCGATGGGACCCTAGCTGGAAGCCACATCACAGACGTATTCCGATGGGAGTCTAGCTGGAAGCCACATCACAGACATATTCCGATGGACCTCGAGATCACAGGCATATTCCGATGGGAGTCTAGCTGGAAGCCACATCACAGACGTATTCCGATGGACCTCGAGATCACAGGCATATTCCGATGGGAGTCTAGCTGGAAGCCACATCACAGACATATTCCGATGGACCTCGAGATCACAGACATATTCCAATGGGAGTCTAGCTGGAAGCCACATCACAGACGTATCCCGATGGGACTCCAGCTGGAAGCCACATCACAGACGTATCCCGATGGGAGTCTAGCTGGAAGCCACATCACAGACGTATCCCGATGGGAGTCTAGTTGGAAGCCACATCACAGACGTATTCCGATGGGAGTCTAGCTGGAAGCCACATCACAGACGTATTCCGATGGGAGTCTAGTTGGAAGCCACATCACAGACGTATTCCGATGGGAGTCTAGTTGGAAGCCGCATCACAGACGTATTCCGATGGGAGTCTAGCTGGAAGCCACATCACAGACGTATTCCGATGGGAGTCTAGTTGGAAGCCACATCACAGACGTATTCCGATGGGAGTCTAGTTGGAAGCCGCATCACAGACGTATCCCGATGGGAGTCTAGTTGGAAGCCGCATCACAGACGTATTCCGATGGGAGTCTAGTTGGAAGCCACATCACAGACGTATTCCGATGGGAGTCTAGCTGGAAGCCACATCACAGACGTGTTTAGATGCGAGTCCGCAGTCCGCAGAGCAAACAAGGACATAAAACATAAATAAAACCAGCAGTTGCCCAATTAACCGTTATGTTTTATGCACTGGACAGTAAATAAAACAGACAATTACTGTATTCCTACAGACACAGACTGCTGTCCTTTCCTTGTGATCCAATCTTTAATTTGTTTGTAAGAGTTACAAATCAATGTTACATGGCAGTATTTTATCCAAAACAGACCTGTGTATTAGAATGACAAGTCATAGAAAGTCAAATACAGTAAACTATGTTTATGATGAACACGTTTATAACAAACTGATGGATATAACGAACACGTTTATAAAAAAACTGATGGATATAACGAACACGTTTATAACAAACTGATGGATATAACGAACACGTTTATAACAAACTGATGGATATAACGAACACGTTTATAAAAAACCCGATGGATATAACGAACACGTTTATAACAAACTGATGGATATAACGAACACGTTTATAACAAACTGACGGAATCAACAAACTGTTTTTTGGCCCCGGCCATTTACTGTATATATGCCGTAAACACGCTCATAACGAACTATGGATATTACGAACTAAACTTAGTGGTCCCTTTGAGTTCGTTATAACTGTAGTTTACTCTATATATATTAATGATTTGCCTTTTATTTAGCTTTACAATAAAACATCAATTCATTTGTTCATGTCATTGAACTGCTCTTTCAGTTTGGAAACTAAGATATGTGCTATTCAATTGAACAGAAACATACAATTCAGTCATTGACAGTCGAGCGAGTTTTGAAAATGACTAATTTTGATGACTCTTTTCCTTGCATTCCTCTTTTTTAAACCATCATTTATATTAATTAAAATTTTGTTTTTCTTCAATGTGATTTCTGGTCAGAATTTTTGGTTGGGCCAGTGAAATAAAGAAAAAGTGAGAACATGTTTTTAATGACATTTTACAGACCTACTTTCAATTTAGTTTCTAAAATTAGTGTGGATCCTTTAAGTAATTAAAAATGTGAGTGTTAGTTAGCTTCAGATAGGAATATTTCTCACTGAGGGGCTGGTGTTGTGTGTTGCAGCGTCGTGAGCGAGAGTGGCTGGTTGGTGTGGAGGTGCACAGCGTCCTGGATGACATCCGACACACACTGACGGTGAGTACCGGAAACCTGCGGTGAGTACCGGTCACCGGCGGTGAGTACCGGACACCGGCGGTGAGTACCGGACACCGACGGTGAGTACCGGAAACCTGCGGTGAGTACCGGCGGTGAGTACCGGTCACCGGCGGTGAGTACCAGACACCGGAGGTGAGTCCTGGACACCGGCAGTGAGTCCCGGACACCGGGGGTGGGTACTGGACACCGGCAGAGGGTACCGGACACCAGGTGTCCAAAATTACGCAATTAGCCAGGACTCTGATGATCAGTCAGGGTTATCTGGAGACAGATATTTCATGGGGTGTAAAAGGCAAAATTGTGATGAAAACCATAAGAATGGATCACTGAAAATCAGTTATGACACCGGGTGTCCACTACAAATGTAACCAAGTCTTGCCCTACCAGCAGCACCTGCCACACACACAATTTGCATTAAAAGTAAGTGTGCCACACACATCCATACAATGGCGGCCTGCAAAATGGCGTCAAAACACGATATGCCATGGTTCCTCATGTGTTAGCCAAGGACTCGAACTCTTTTCATGTTTTTGGATTCATTATGAATGTGAGATTGTGTTAAACAGCAGACTTCTTGTTTCTCAAGGACATCCCTGACACATGACATCCTTAAATACTTGAAGGGGCACGGGGCGGTCGGGTAGCCTAGTGGTTAAAGCGTTCGCTCGTCACGCCGAAGACCCGGGTTCGATTCCTGACATGGGTACAATGTGTGAAGCCCATTTCTGGTGTCCCCCGCCGTGATATTGCGGGAATATTGCCAAAAGCGGCGTTAAACCATACTCACTCACTAACTCACTGAAGGGGCATGGGTGGTCCAATGAACCAGTGCTCAAAGATGCCACAATTCGATTTAGTTCCCTATAACGAGTTGTGCATCCATCTTGATCAGATAAGTACGACGGATAATATTCAACTCGAAAGTCCTTCAACTCTGCTAAGAGCTGTTCCAGTCAAAGATGAAAAATATAATAGCGGTAGAACGGAATCTTTCTCATCATTACAATATAAAAAATTAAAGCAGGGTATTATTTCAGACCTCAAAATATCTGTATTAGATGTAAAACACCAACCTGTACATATAGGATACTTGAGTGTAACACTCCATATTATAAATAATGGTTGATTCATTTGGCCCTGTATCTCATAACCTTAGACAATGTGATACAATTGCGCTTTCTGATCTCGGAGACACAGAAGGATTCGGTAAACCCGGTATCGATGGCAAGTTATACGCTTTACATTGACAAGATAACGTATACAAGTGGAAAGAAGTTACATTCACAGGTAATCTAGGAGATTTAAGTGATGTCGACGTTAGTAGACTCAATAAAAACACTTCATACAATCTTAATCGTAACGATGATAATAAATGGACTATGGTTGAAGCAAAAATCGAATGGCTACTGAATATTGTCATTACCCCACCATATGTGATGATAGGTAATGGACATCAATTAACTAAGATAATAAATAGTGGGATCATACTCAGGGCTTACATCCCATCAAAACAAAAAAGTGTGTTAGTCTCTTCCCTGCCAGAAAACCCAGGTCATATGTTATTGAGTCGTCCGGCAGTAAAAAATGTTAGTTTAAATTTGGTTACTGAATTCAATGATATAAAACAGAACTTGAATGCTATACCTACTCTTTCTACAATTATTATTGAAGTCTTGTTTGGAGATGGACCCATAGATTCCGTCGAAATATTACCAGGTCTATCAATTAAATGGCTCAAGCAACACGAGCGTCAACGTTGCAGTATTATTTATACGGGAGTATCACCCGTTGCAACCCTTGAGGGGTCCAAGTTAATAAAGGTGACAGCATTTCTCTTACTAAGATATTCATGCCGTATAATATACATTTAATAAGGTTGATGTATACTCTCAAAACATTGAAGCAAGACCTATTAAAGACTATTATATGATATAATAATATACACTATGGGTTTATATCCGGTGCTCGATGAAGCATCTGAAAAGATGGATACTGTTGATGGATTTCGATTACATCAAATAAGCGACATAAAACATCGAATAGCGAAAGGAGAGGGAGTTGAGACTTGGATTGTATAAAAAGTATCGCAGAGCTGTGAATGCTCTCGACGGAGTTGACACCGCGCTTGTAACGGCTGGCTTTGGACTCGGTGTAGCCGGTGTTGGTTTATTATCAACTATAATCGCCGCGCCTATCGTACTTGGTATGGAAGTAGCCGCCGGAGTCGCTGGACTGGCCGGAATAGCGATAAAATTTATTTCTCGTAAGTTGCAAAAGAAAACATTAAAACATGATAATATTCGGATACTCACCGAAGCAAAGTTGAACAGCATTGAGGATCATATTTCAACAGCAATGGCTGATTGTAAGATATCCGAGGATGAGTTTCGTTTTGTGCTGTCAGAACTCACCAAATACAACGTAATGAAGCAGGAGATTGGATCAAATTCTCATAAGACCAGTGGTATTAGCGAAGATGAGAAAAAAAATAGAACAGGGGAGACAACAAGCGTTCAGTTATTCCGTGCCAAAACCAAAGAACTGGTTGGAGATTAAAAATAGATTGTTTCCTGTCGTTGGATCACACCACAATAATTCAAATGAATGCTTGCATAAGTATAAAATAATGGAGCCAATCAAATGGCGAGAATTACCACAGGGTATATATTATATCAATGATGTCAAACCAACCAAATACGGTCATCAATTGTTTCTTTCCAATTTCGAAAAAGAGTATATAGTCTGGTCTCCTAGTAAAATGAACGAAGAACTTAGTAAAAATGTTGAATATCACTTTGTTCAAAATAATGGTATAGGTATGAGTAAAAACAATAGAGAATATTTTCATTACAATTTAGTTTAATCTCATGACGATCGTTGAATAGCATCATCATTTTTGCATAAAAAATTCCCTCTGTAGTAGCAGTATAGGTCTATAAATCTGGCTCCAGTGGGGTTGCGGCAGTATCACCTTTACCTATTCTACTACTGTGGACATTACAGGACAATACATTGATGTGAGGCGGGGCGTTAGGTCATCGTTAAATACTGATCTCGTCCAAACCTGCCTCACTAGAAAACACACCGCCTCAGTAACCATGGTAACATTTATGCCATTGAGTGTTTGCCGATGTTGTCGACATCAGCATTCGGAACAACTGCAAATGATGAAATACAACTTGTTCTGAATGCAATTCCTGTCAAACGCACATCATTTGAGTGCTTCCTTTGTTATGTTTTAAATAGATGTCAAGTTAATGTTAGTGTCGCAAGATCCGAATGTCCAACTTGTGAATTATGACAATTTCCATAAATCAGCACGCATTTTTGTTTCTTTGTTTTGAGAGTGAAGTTTGTTGTCCTTGGAAATATATAATACAAAATACAATTCCCTCTTAACTTTTTCAAAAATATGGATGAGAATCTGAAAATTTATTGTGGCCATGTATGAAAGTTAAAACAATATTTATGCAATATTTTCTGAAATGTGTTGACATAATGCAAATATAGCATGTTTAACAGAGGGTCCTGATGGGTTTTAATGCTTTATGTAAAACACCCTTCAAACACTATCGTAAACGTCAAATTCATCTTTTTTTATCGTAAATGCTTATCGTAAAATACCAAAAAATAACTGCTTAACGTATGAAATAATTTACTGCTTATCATAAAGTGATAAAAATGGTCAAAAACAGTCTGTCTTCAAGACCAGAATGCTTCGCCACAGAAAGCAGGCTGCGCAACTGACGCAGGGGACCAGTCTAGAATATTTAGCGATTTGAGATTTTACCAGGTATTAAAAATATGAATTGTCAGGATGAAACGAAAGCAGAATTAAAAGTCCTCTGTCCCTCCATGGCCAATTTAGGAATGTTTCGCGACGATTTTATTGAAAAAGAAGAAAAATTACTGCTTAATGAAAAAGTACCCCAAATTTTACTGCTAACTGCTTATGGGACCCACCCATCAGGACCCTCTTAACAGGTAGGAAATAAGAAAAATATATATGTTTATTTTATATGAAAATTTTAACAATATTCATGCAATAATTTACAGAATGTATCATGTTAACAGTCAGTCGACCGGCATTAATGGTAGGTGATCAATTAGATTTGTCATATAGATTTCTTTGATATTTCATCGGGCTGTTGCTTCAAAGGAACACAGTCACGTCCTGGCTTAAATATCAATATATTAGTAACATGATATTGATCAAGTAGAGCTATTATATAATAGCTGGTAGTTTCACATAATTGTGAGAAGTGAAAAGGTTTTGTTATCCAGTTAACAGGGTTGTGTAGGAGATGAAATGTTAGTCATGTGACCAAAGGAATTGGGAACTACTTTAGAGGATAATTAGCAATCTATCGTGTAGTGTTTTCCCTTGTGTGAAAAGTCTTTATTGTTTGGCTAGGGTTTAGTAAGAAGAATATTCTGTAGGGAGCAATTACTTGTAATTTTTGTTGCAAGTAATTTTTAGTAGTGTTTTGTTTTTCATTCCTCCTTGCATGGCAGACATCTTCTTCCTTGTAGAACAGTCTCGCAGTAAATGATAGAATCAAATATCAGCCAATCAGAATGCAGCAATTTTTTTTTTTATAAAGACACTTTATTGATGCTATATTATTCAAACATATATCACCAAAAACAGCAGTACTTGTAGCTGTTTGGGGCATTTGTCTTTTGAATGACGTCTTTTGCCAGTTGCCAAGGTATCCAAATGTTGTAGCCATGGTTACCATGGTTACAAGACTGATAGTGAAATAAATGTTTGATGACTTGTCATAAAGAAATACAGTTTTTACATTAAATTATGACATTACATAAAATAATAACTTCACTTTTTATGACCAACCAAAAGACATGCAATGAACTTGCTTTTGCTAGATTTGTAAATTTGATACTGATATTGTTATTTATGGGTGTATGTAGTCACTAACGGTATCAGCGCTTCGTAGGAAGACCACACCACACATAAA